CAACTCTAATTATATATCGTGTTTTAATAAAAATAAATATAAGTAGAGTAGAGGGAATTATGGAGCACATCATAAATTTGGAATTCTTAAGTCCAACTCTCTTCAATGGAGCTTGAATTTAACTGATATATATGATTTTTGACTTTTGAATGCTTAGTATTATTCGGGGCTTACTAAAAAAAAAATTGTGGGAAACATAAAATTAAAAAAATAAAAGTAAAAGAAAATGAATGAATATGGGAAGCTCACCCTCTGGAACCATAAGCTTTTGTTACCATAAAAAGAAAAAGTGATTTCTGTTGTAAAGAAACATAGCTTTTCACATCCAATGAGAGTTTGCTAGCACCATGGGTGTCTAGCAATGATGCTACCAAATGGGGAAATAAACTTTGAAAATATAATGGAGGAAAGTTGAAGACAAGAAGTCACCGTGTAGAACAAGATATCTTGGTCTATCCAAATGAAGGAGCTCACTTATGCCCTTAACCTCCATATCACAACTAGAGCTTGAGGCATGGGGGGACAAATAACGAGCTTATATCCAAACTTAGCTTGGGCCTAGTTTGTAGGTTTAGCCCAAATCATCAAAAGGCAAATCAGACTTAGCCTACGACTTTAATCTAATATGAAGCTCAAGAGTCAACGCACGAGAGAGAGCAGTCATCATGATACGCACGCAGAAGAGCTATCATCAAAATAACCATTACTGCAAAATAATACACATTCCCAATTGTAGCTAGCCTCCCTAATAAAGTAGTATCTTGACTTTCACATCATCACTTCAACTGGAGCTCTACGCCTATAAATTATAAACCCCTTACACATGGGGATATCTCACACACAGCTCACCTTGAACGTCTTCTTGCTCTCTCTCTCTCTTACTTCCTTATTCTCTCTCATTAATAGAGTTTTTTAGTCACCGTTGTTACTTTCAATGGTTAGATAACCTAAACTTAATCATCCAATCTTTATCTCTTTTTATTAATTATTTCATTAATTATTTTACATCACACATTTGGCTAATTTGATTGTATATAGTCAATTTTGTGCATCATCATAAATAATCCAAACAAATGGTCTTATAATGTTTTGTATCCAAGCAATATTATTTGTATTTCATTTATTGACTTAATTGGTAATAAATTTTAATATTTATTAAGATTTGCAAACACTCAAATAATTATAATAAATTAAATTTAAACAATATTATTATTTATGTGCTGGGCCAGAATTACGAGGGAATTTGACAGCTGTGAAATCACAAAAAATGACAACTTTTGATGCTGTTTAGACTTGGGTTTTGATATAGGTCACTTGGTCTTTCAGTGTAGCCTACAAAATTGATTAGATAATACGAATTTAATGTGATATCATTTTAAAATTAACATAATTATTAAATATGTATAATAAATAATTTGAATTAATATTTAACACTTAAAATATACTAAATTAATTATTTTTTTGCAAAATTTGGAACTAACATAACATGAAAATATCAATACGTAAATCACCTAATAGGACACGTATTGTCACCCCTAAGTGTCCTTCAGCCTTTAAATGCTTGGTGGACAACTGATTAAACTGAACTAGACTACATTCCGTCTTAGTGGTTCGCAGGTCCAATAATTTAAATAGAGAGTATTCAAGTCCCACACCACAATTGGACGGTGGTTGTTGCTTCACCTGCTTAACTTCCAATTTGCAGGGGTCCATAGGAGGCATCCAATGCTTTTATGTGGGACACACTGAAAAGGATCGATACAAAAGATTCTAGACTGGCCTTTGTGTTTTAGATATAATTAGAGTCAGTTCTATTTTAATGTATATATTTTTTAATTATTTTAAATAGATTATTCACGATGAAAGAAAAAGCAAAATCAACGTCAAATTATGGATGAAGTTGTCAAATAAGATCTCGCTAAATTGGTTAAGCGAATCATACTTTGGATATCGTTTAGAGCAAGATCAGTCATTGGATTAAGACCAACAAACCGATCATTCCTTATCAAAGGCCCAGCAAGAGACGTCAATACATACCTCAGTCTCGGGATGAACTCCGATGTTGAGGCTTGAAGACTAAAAATTCACAAAACTACATAAACTCGATAAGATAAAAATTAAAAAATAATACAAAATTTTAACTTGAATAATAACAAAGCCGAATTAGTATCATGAATGAATAACACGTTTAATTGGTATTGTACCAAAAATGTTATATTTTTTATATTTTTAAAATTGTTGACTGAGCTATAATATAAATTTTTATAGTAAAAAAAGGTTTTTGGTTGTGCAATTTTTGGTTCATAAATAACACAAAAAAAACATAAACACTATACCAATCTAAAACTCAAATATAAACACTATACCAATCTAAATCTCACCATGACACAATTTAAATGAAAATTTTATATGTGGTACCACCACTTTTTATCATATTTATAGGGATTTTATAAATTGTGGGTATTTTTATGCTAAAAAAAATTATAATTTTTTGAGTATTTTTGTAATTGTTGCAGGTATTTTTGACACTTTTGTAACAACTGTTTTTATCATTTTTAGAGTACCTTCTTGTTGATCCTAAAATATACCAATAAAAGTTATAAATGGCGTCGTACCAATTTTTTTTTTTTGACAACTCCTACCTTGGTATAATAAGTCAACCTGTTTCGATCCTAAGACTTCCATGGGGTAGAATTCCATGCATTATTATTATAAACTTAAAAGAAAAAAATGCTTTATAAAATTATACTCTGTGAAGCCCAGTTGGAATTTTTTAAAGCATAGAATGCTAATACATTATTATCTGTTAGCATCGCGTTTTTGACTCACTGTTTGACTATGCACAATTGAAATTGAATTATTATAAGGTAGCTAGCAATTGGATTTATTATCCGGCAATTGATCTACTCCTTAGTGAGAAACCAATGGTTCTCACATGCACATTGTATGTTGCTTTCCCTTCGCATATTTAATGTTAGTGCCTGAATATACTTTATAATATAAAAAAAATTAAATAAAAAAATAACATAAACTTCCATTTGAGCACCGATCGACTTTCATAAAATTAATTTAGCCATTTTATTTCATTATAATATTTGGTAAAATTTTCTCTAAAAATAAAATCTTAAAATTATCAAACTCGTCGCCACGTCACAATCCTGTCTGCTTTAATCCAATAGTTAGCAATACCGCAACAACATATAATTCACAACCAAATTGACACAAAATATATCTTTGATGAAAGACCAACCCATCAAGCTTATCGGTTTGAAAATCACAGCCTATGGTCTTTTCAGCTAAGTTAGAAGCTATCCATGAGCCATGGGCTGATGAGGCACAAGGCTAACAGGTTAGCCCCTGGGTACGGACAATTTGTTTAGCCTTAGGTATAATGATTCACAGAGTCTTTTTTTCTCTCTCTCTCTCTTTTTTTTTTCCAGTGTTTCGTAAGCATTTTCCTTTTCAATTTTACTTTTGTTATTTTTAAAATAATGGTTGTAAATTTTTTAAACGAAAATCAATTTCAATACGATATCTCCGTGCCACCCTAACCTTATCCATAGATGTTTAGAATAGATATTTGTGGGATCTCTATTCTATTCATTTTTTTTTTTAGAGAAATACATATCGTCTATTTAATCAAGTTGGAGAGAGAACCATTCATTCATGCTTGCTAATTCTAATCTCGACTGTAGACATTTAGAAATAGGAATTGCTAGTTTCGGGTCAAGTCCTGGGCCGAGGGGGTCTTGTATTCATGGGTAGTGAATGGGGGTCACTCATACTTGGATTGAAACATGGCCCAGGCTCCTTATGTATGTAGGGCTGATGGGTTGTAATGGATGCTGATAGTTTACTATGCCATATTTGTCCGCTCCATAACATGGTATTCATTACACCACTGCCGCTGACGGGCTAAATAGTCAAATTAGAATGCTAGGTAAGCTAGAGCCTACTAGGCTGCATCAAAGGCCCACAGCCTATTTATGAAGTGGACTGGGCAAGCTTATGATCCAATGGACCACCCGATTTGTTGGATCAGGACAATCCCCAAATATCTTCTCACTCCTAGGCAACATTCGCTTCTGTCCATCTCTCTCTCTCTCTCTCTCACACACACACAGACACACCCCCACTCTTCTCACTCCTAGGCAAGATTCACTTCTGTCCATCTCTCTGTCTCTCTCTCTCACACACACACACACACACATGCCGGCCCAACCTTTAGGCCACGTTGCCCATTGCCTAGGCCTCGATTTGGAAAAAATATTAAAAACTAAAACATCCACATGACAACTAAATATATATACATGTCCTGGTTGCATTACAACAAAAAAATATTTTTTCCGAAAAATTAAAAAAGTTGTAATGTTGTTAACTCTAATTTTGATTTTCTTTTGGAAGAAAATGTGCCTTTCAATGTGAGTCAAAGCCGTTGTTCACTCCTAGTTTAAGTAACTAGTTAATGACGTTTATTTTTATTTTTAAAAAGAGAGAATTTTATTTATTGAATCCAAAAATTACAAGAATCAAACAAACAGAAACTGTTAAAAAAAACAATAACTGTTTTAACAGTCCAAAAATAGTAAATTGTACAAAATAGAAAATTCTGTTTACTGATCCTGCAGCTCAGCTCAGCCCCTGCCTTGACTGATCAATCCACTGCATCTTTACTTCAGCATCTGCTAGCTTTCTCAAAATAGAACAGACTGCAGTCCAGTGCAGAGAGGAACAACTCAGCAACTGACCAGTCTGAACTATATTTACAATCCAGCTCCTTTTGAGATAGCACAGCAGGTGACAAGAGACAGCTCTTGCTCTGTCTAATCAAGTCGCTGCAGCTTTAGTTAGCACCTCCAAACTTCAGGCCAGCATCTGATGCAAATGAAAAAAATCACGAAGAGTTGGCTTTAATCCTACAACAAAATTAAAACCCCTTAATTCAGCTCCCTCTGATGCATTACAGCACCTAGAACACTTCCTAATCCAAAAACAGACTATTAACGGTCAGGAAAACTGCCCAGTCTGAAATCAAGTAAAATCCCTCCTACATCATCCAACTCCTTGCCTTGATCACAAATCACCATGTTTCTTTTCCTTGCAGTAGGCATTCCAGATTGATCCTGATGAATGAGCATTCTGCCAGACAGAGGTAGACTGCTTTGAGAAGAGAACTCAGTACATACTTGAGTTTGAACAGCAAGAGAGGCCAAAAAATCTGCAATCATATTGGCCTCTCTATATACATGCCTCAGCTGAAAATTCAACCCACCAAGTAATCTCCAAATCTGCTCCATGAATCCTTGCAATCTCCAAGGAACAACTGCCTTGTCCAAAACCATTTGGACCAAAACCTAAGAGTCTGATTCAATCAACAGTTGTGACTCCTCCAAATCATGATGCACAAACATCATCCTCAGACCATCCAATAATGCCCTGCACTCAGCCTGCATATTTGACCCCAAACCACAAAATGCAGCAGCAGCAAAGATCAGATGCCCATCAGCATTTCTAATAACCATTCCACCACCAGATAGGCCAGTACTCCCCTTGGAAGCACCATCCACATTCAATTTCAGCATGGTTATAGGTGGGGGGATGCCATTTAATCCAACTAACTTTAGTAACCACAGAAAAAGGAGTGCCAATTCTGAGGTACTGGCGCATTTCTTTCCCCCCCAGACTATCCATCCTCCTGGGCTTTATCATGAAAACTTGCCATCTCAATGCACTTACCACCTGTAAGAAAAGAGCATAAGCATTCAAAATCAACCCTTCATATCTCCTCCTACACCTCTCCTTCCATAAAGCCCGAAAGATCAACATAGATACACCCCTTATTAAAGAATGACTTAGAGAAAGAGCTCTAAAAGCTCTAACCAGCCTCAAAAATCTACACATAGGAGATTCACTTGGCAAAATCTCAAATCCCATAACCACAGACACCCTTCTCCACCCCCCTCATGGGCAAACAAACAACTGATAAAAACATGATCTGCACTCTCCTCCTTTACACCACACAAATTGCATTTACTAGCTAAACACACCCCCACTCTTTGAATCCTGTCATCAGTAGTCATTGCCTCCCTAAAAACCTTCTGAGTGCATAACTGAGTACTAGGAAAGATTTTCTGGTTCCAAATACTCTGAGCAATATGACTTGGAACACCTCTTCATCTTACCGTACCCCATGTAGACTTGACTGAAAAAACACCTGAAGTGGTAAGTTTACAAACTCTTTTATCAGATCTTTCAGTCAAACTCACACCAGAACATCTAATCTCATTTTGCAGCTGAGGAGAAAGCCATTCATTAACCTCCTCTAAATGCCATTCCCTATCAATCCATAACTCACTGAGTTTGGGAAAAGAAGAAGGAACACCTTCAATCCTATGCAACAAAGGACCAGAATCCAACCAAGAATCACACCAGAAGTCAGAATTCTGCCCATTCCCAACAAGCATCAGAGTTATTCGCCACCAGCTCAAACCAAGGCCTCAGCATTCTAAAACTTTGACCCACTCCAGTCAAACTAGATCTCAACACATGCTTGCCTTTCAAAAATTTTCCTCTAAATACTTTTGCCCAAAGAGATTGCCCATTAAGAACACCCCAAACCTGCTTTATTCTAAAAGCAGACTGGACTTCACCATAACTCCTGATACCTAAAACCCCTTCACATTTGGGTTTGGAAACATTCTCCAAAGAAACCCAATGTCTTCTTCTAACATCCATCTTGCTAGACCAAATAAATCCAGCAATAATAGAATTCAACTTTTTCAAAACACCTTTTGGAATATTCAAACAAGCTAGTAAATGAATTGGGATTGAGCTCAAAACTGACTGAACCAGTACTATTCATATCAAATGCAATGCCTACTTCTGGAATTTGATTAGTGACTTCCCTTCAACACATTACGTTGAACTAGAATGGAGTAACCGAATAACGGTTCAAGATGACTCGGTCTTTTTTTTTTGGTACTGAATGACTTAGTCTTTCAAACTGTGGTTTTTAGTGGTTAACTTAATGACTACATTTAGTACCCACTTCAAAACCTAAATAATTAAACTAGCCCATATTTAAAGTATACACAAAATGACAGATTTTTACTCGTTATTATGATGCCAATTGGATCATAAGAAAATCGAATATTGGTATATAGACTTAAATTAATCAAATATGACGTGACAACCTCTTATTCGAATAATCATCGGTCAAAAAAAATAATATACATTAGACAAGACACATTTCGTATAAAAAATAATGATGAGTCATGACTTCATTGGTCTCTTAGGTTAGAAGTCAAATAGGCTTCTCTCAACCAACAGATTGACATGGGCAATTTATTTGAAAATTTCTAAGAATCGGAAAGCGTAATTATTGAGAGTAGTAATGTTATTTAGATCTAAAAATTTAATTTAATTTATTAATCTAATGATGCGGTTGCACTATAACTCTTGAATTGACATTAAACTTCAATGTTTGATGGGAACCACAGTCAATCAAAAGGTCATAATTAATTAAGCTAAAAAATTAGATTACAATAGCATTGAAATAAGAGCAGTGAATTTGAAGAGGCATAAGTCACCACTATGGTTTACATTCCCAGTGCAATTCTTATAAATACAAGTACCAAAATCAACATTATAGCAAGAGTACCCAATAGTTATCCTAATCAAGATCTCTTTAAGTGATCATCAGTATTAGAGTGAATCACATCATAAGCTTTAAAAAATGGTAAGGGACTCAAAAGACAACGATATTAGAAATAAGAAATTTCAGGTTAATCATGGATCTTATGCACTAGATTGAGTAATTCTACTTGAACTTAAAATGTTAACTTAATCAGTAATTGTTATTGATTTAACTAAGGGTCCTAATATTTATTGAAACCCACTATATATTTAATAATTGTGATTCTTGAAGTTAAAAAATTAAGTAAGCATTTTAAGTACAAATTGCATTTTTCCTAATAGATCACACCCTGTGTATGAGGTGAGGGGATCACTTATAAATAATGGGTTCCACTTGCTTTAATGATAGATAATTTAACAATGAGTAAAATTGAGCAAAAGTATAATGAAAAGTATCTTAATCCCATGGTATTGAAGGTAACTCCGTTTTACCTGAAATAAAATCTACATCGCAATGTAGATCAAGGCAGTTGTTCACTCTCTTTTCCTCCACTTCACCACCCAATAATATAAGTAGACAAGTGAATCCTACAAACTTTAATAATACCCCATCTATATAAGATAATAACTACTTATGCAATAAAATGAAGTTCATTTTGACCACTTATTGTCTGTCATTACATAGTGCCACCATGTATCAATGGTGACTTAATGTCGTCACAACACCATGACTTTTGAATAGTCACCGAAGTAGTTGAACTTGGGAAGCAAATGATCCCACTTGTGGAATCTTTAGTGAGTCCCTTCAACACGTTACGCCGGAGGGGAATGAATAAGGACTGCTATTGATTTGATTGTTAAAATTGCGGTTTCTGGTGGTACAGAAGAATAAGGACAATGAGTAGGAGGAAGAGCAGAAGGAGTAGGATGGAGGGGAAAGAGTGATGATAAGGAGGAAGACAATGAGAAGGAGAAAGGAAATAATGAAAAGAGGGAGGAAAATAATGAAGGAGGAGGAGGAAACAACCCAAACAATAAGAAAGAGTAGAAGAAAATGAGAAGTAGGAGGAGGAAATAGAAGAGAAGGAAAGAGGGATAAAGAACATAAAAGGAGAAAGAGAAGAAAAAGGAGGAAAATCGGGAGGAAGAAGAAGTGAGGAGAAAGAGAAGAAGGAGGAGGAGGAGGAGAAGAAGAATAAGGAGGAAACACGAGAGGAAGAATGAGGGAGGAGAAAAAGAAGGATAAGGAGGAATAGAATGGAAGTGAGGAACATTGGTGAATGGCGACAAACAGAAATTAAAACAAAATTGGAAAAGGAAAAGGGGAAGAAGGAAGGAGAGGCAGAAGGAAGAAGAGGAGAAAAAGCTGAGGAAGGAGACGAAGAAGAAAAGTCACTTGAAAAATCAAAATTTATGATCAATCCCATTTTGCCCCTGAAAGATACAAAAATGCTCAGTTTGGCCTCTCGAATAATTAATTTTCCATATTGTCCCTCAAAAAAATAAAAACGTTGCAATGTAGTCCACCTGTTTTGTACCGAATCAAACAATCAGGAATTATAAAATAGACGGACGATCAAATGAAAACAAAAAAAAGGAAAATAAGATAGTGCATCACATTGCAACATTTTTATTAGTTTATAGGGGTAATGTGGAAAAATTAATCATTGATGAGACAAACTAAAAATTTTTGTATCTTTTAGAGGAAAAAATGAAATTTTTTCCAAAATTTATAGTAGCTTTGAGGAACATCAGTGAATTGCGAGAAACAGAAACTAAAACAGAATTGGGGAAGGAAAACGGGAAGAAGGAGAAGGAGAAAAAATAAAAGGAAGGAGAGGAAGAAGAATAAAGGACGAGTAGGAGTAGAAAAAGCATAACAACACTAAGTCAATATTACAAAGTACTTTTTTGCGATGGACATACATTGATGGAAAGGAAGAAGAAGGAGAATGATAGGAATAGGAATAAAGAAGAAGAAGAAAAAGGTGAAAGAGAGAAACAATAAGAAAGAGTAGAAGAAAAAAGGGGAAAAGGGAGGGAGGAAAAAGGAGGGAGAAGGAAGAAAAGATAGAGAAAGAAGGATAGAGGAGGGTAGAGGAGAAAGAGAAAGAGAATGATGATGATGATGGGAAGACGAGGACAATGAGAAGGAAAAAAAAGGAGGAAAAAGAGAAGAGAAGAAGAAAAAGAAGTAGGAAGAGATGCAGAAGGAGGAGAAATAGAAGAGGAAAAAGGAGCATGGGAGAAGAAAAAAAATGAAAAGGGAGAAAAATTGGGAGGAAGAAGAAGTGAGGAGGAGGAGGAAGATAATGAAGGAGTAAAAGAAGAAAAAAAATAGCACTAAGTAAATATTACAAAATACTCTTTTACGATGGGCATACATTGGTGGAGAGGAAGAAAAATGAGAATGATAGGAATAAGAAGAAAGTGGAATATTAAAAAAAGAAGGTGAAGGAGAGGAATAATAAGAAAGAGTTTAAGAAAAAGGAATAGGAGGAAGAAGAAGTAGAAAGGATAAGGAAGTAGAAAAGAGAAGGATGAAGGTGAAAGAGAATGATGATAAGGATGAGGACAATGAAAATGAGAAAGAGTAAGAGGAAAAGATAGGGGAGAAGAATGAAGACGAGGGAGAATCAGGAAGAAGAAGAGGGAAAAACAATCCAGAATAAGAAAGAGTAGAAGAAAAAGGAGAAGGGATAAAAAATGAGGAGGAAATAAAAGAGAAGGAAAGAGAGAAGAAAGAGGGAGAAGGAAAAATGAGAGGAAAGAGAAGGAATAGTAGAAAAATCAGGAGGAAGAAGTGAGGAGAAAAAAAAGAAGAATAA